ACATGTTCTAAGATACCCACGAAATATTTTTTTTTCTTAGCTTCTTCTGTAACTTCATACGACTTTTCAGTAACGGACTGACTAATTCATTAAATCACTGATGGGTCACCCATCATGGGTGTGATTAGAACCGAGTGGTGTGTGACCCGGATAAAGCGACCAGAACATTGAACATATCAGTCAACCTGAGTGTGTATTTTGACAATGAATTGAAGTTCTCGGACCATTGTGAGAAGAAGGTGAATCAAGTAACTAAATTATTAGGTCTTTAAGAAGGTCGTTCAGATATCTGGATGGTCCGTCCCTCGTAACGATATTCAAGAGTGAAGTGCTTCCCCGCATGGTCCCAAGGTATGCTATGGACTGCCAGTTGATTGAAAATGTCCAAAGGAGTGTCCATACCTGGAGCTGGCGGACGCTCACCCCACAAGGGGTCACAGCTCAAGGTTGAAGAAGCCACAAGTCCATAAAACTGCGAGGACTAACTTTTTCGGAGTGAGAGTTGTGAGCTCTTGGAACAACTTGCCAGAGTGTTGTGACGGCACCGAGTGTGAGCTCTTTCAAGACCAGACATGACCAGCACTGGAGCAGGTTCAGATACATTCAGGAGCCAGTGCATGTCCAGTACTTGCTTGCCAGAGGCGTGCGTACCAGAGACATGACCGACCGCCCAAACGGCTAACGAGCCGATCAGTGATGAAGAGGATAAAATGATAAAATGAAATAAATGAAATAAACACATTAAAACACACATGTCTCTTCTTAGTTCTGTTTATTCACTGATCTCAGTTTCTTATTAACTGCCATTTCAAAACTTCTTTCTTCAGAAAATTGTGTAAGCCCTTGGCCATTTACGCGCACATTCTCATCTCAGTGTTCCCACCCGTGAATCACTTGTCACGGAAGGTCTTTTGCACACAAACCGCTTCGTTCAAGTATCTTTTCTGATACTGATGGTCGTTATCCATAAGCGGTTTCGTAAATACTCGGGGTTATTAAATTAACCAATTTCCATGATCACAATAGAAAGAATACATAATAAAGAGGAAATAAGAATGTGTAAAATAATGAACTAAAGGTAGATATACGATTACATAAATATTCACATGCTCCACAGGGACTACAAGCACAACCGAGGCAAATAGGATAGCTTATCACTACAAAATTTAATTCTACGTGTACATTTTATAGTTGTTATGTTATTGCTGTGCTTCAATGACGAGGGTCTTCAAGCGCTTGACAAGGTTAGTAATTACACTATTTTAACATTAAAAAAACTAGATAAGTCTCTCATTTAGTTTTGTACTTGTACTGGGTATACACAGTTATGTCACATCTCAAAAAGCTCATATTAACAATACTCGTCATAGCAGCAAAACTTAGTCACTCTAGAAATGCCATTGATCAAAATTACAATCTCAAGATAATAAATATCAGGACACAATGACAATACCTCATAATAACAGCCGAGATGTTGAAATTATACTTGTATTTCCTATTACTACGCTTCAGGCGGCGTCACACTAGCACTGTTTCCTTCATTTACTTGCATAAACTTCCTAAGCGCGTCTTGTCACACACGCGTAGAGAAATAGCGTGTCAATCCTTCTGCCCTTGGGTCCAACACGCGACGATAAGATCTAATATTCTCTGTCATGTGTACAGTACACACAGGAACTAAGAGAGAGGCCATGAAGAAGTTGTGAAGTTGTACACATGGCTCAATGTAAACAAACATATCAGATGTATTTAGGAATAGCAAAAGCAATTAAAAAATACACCAGCAATTTATTAAAAATGCGATACGTTTCGTCTGAGCGAGATGGGCTAGAAAAAAATTCAATTTGTAGAAAAAACGACGGAACCGAGAAATATGACGGAAAGGTGGTAGTTAACACACCCAGCGCCACTACCCTCCTTTATTATTGCGTCATTGTGAACACTGTTATTAATAGTTTTATTCATTCATTTCAGAAAATGTTATAGCTAGATATAAAATTTAAATGCATAATTTTACCATTCCTCTATATATTTAATATATTCTCCTTTTCCATTTTAATGCAATTTGCCTATCTTAGGACCATTTAGTTGCATCACCTTCCTTTGCTTTTATTGGTAGCAGAAGAATAATGATATTTACAGCTGATGAGGCGGTCAGAGGACCACAATGTAAGGGTAGATTATTTTGTATTTTTTGTTTTTTTGTTTTTTTTTGGGGGGGGGGTGTGGAAAAAATTAGTTTCTATGCGAATATTTAGACGATTTATGGCTTGTTAACCAATTTTTCTACTTCAGGGATGGGTTCGGGTCTTGGAAAAAAAAATTCTTGAGCCGGGGGGGTCTGGGGAAATAAATACCTATCCAGGAAGTTTCCACCATATTTAACTTAATTTCTCACATTGTTATTCATTTCGTGAACACCTACGTTAAAATACACAGTACCCAAAATCAAACATATATGTTTAGTGCAACAATATTTTTCATGCATATAGCCAGAATAATTCCTTTACAAATTATAGTTGTTACTAAACTTGAATTTGTTTAATATTTCAAATTGTGCACCATTATTGAAAGAAGATAAACTAAAAAGTAATTTATTTATTTATTTTTATTTTTTGCACTGTATTGTGTGAGAATTCAAAATTTAATATTTACGAAAGGGATTTATCTCTATTGCACCAGCAACTGGGGTTTCAATAGCATACGTAATACAAAAAAAAAAAAAATAAGCTGTTCCATGATATATACAAACAAAATATTTAGTTTTCTTTCTCATGTAATATTCACTCATTTGGTATTTTTTATTCTTAGTTTTAATTGCATCAGCTAGTTTTTTCAAGGAAAGTAAACGCTTCTGTTTTTGCTGCTGGAAGACCTCTCTGCTCTTCCTTGATTTTTGAGCCATTTCCCTACACTCAGTTTTCTTTGAACGTTTCTTTTACAAAAATTTAATCTTATTTTCTTCCTGCTTCAACCTCTTATGCTTTAACATGCTTCTATACCTACTACTGGAGTTTTATGCAGTTTAGCCATCCAGGTGGTGTTCCTACCCCCTAACACCAATGCTCTTATCCAGCCTCTCTATCAGGGTGTAATATGTACCCTCAAGGGACATTATACACACCACTCCTTTAGTCGTATCCGGAGTGCCATGGATGAAGACCCTGACCTTGATGTTAGCAAGTGTTGGAAACAGTACAGTATTACCATCATTGAAGCATTCAATGAACTCAAACTAGAGACTGACAGCTTGTTGGCACACCTTTTGGCCCCGAGTGAATTACTTTCAGGAATTTCCGTCCATAGTAAAGGATGTGAATGACATTTACAAATCAGTTGGGTGGTAAGGGGTTTGTAGACATGGCTGTTGAAGAAGTGGAAGAGCTGATTGATGGGCATGGAAAGGAACTTACAGAAGAGGATTTGTTATAGTCGGTAAAAAGTGCTGAGGAAGATGGAGAAAGACATTATGGAATTACAAAAAGAAGGTTGGAGCTTGGAAAATTTGGGTGAACTATTTCGTCAGGTATAGATGAATGATCTCATTGTTAACAGCGACCCTTCCATGGAGTGCAGCCTTAAGATGGTCCGAGGAATAATCCAGGTGTTGTTTCCTTACCAGGAAATGTTTAAAGACAAGAGGAAACAACTACCAATCACCATGTTTTTTCAAGAACGAACTATTAGCTACCACTCCACCAACCACCAGATTTACCCTCTTCCACCAGTAATCCTGATGATCCATCTATGCTTCAGTAACCAAACATCTCCTTATGTACAATGAAAGACAAAAGTTGTGTCGTGAAATTTGGTGAAAACATATGCCGAAGGGCTAAACTTTTGGTGCACTCTCATATGCTTCACGAGTTATATTTAATCTATGGACAAAACCATGACACGAATTTTGTATTTTATTGTACAGTGCACTACTTCATCAAACTCTAGACTTACATGCAAATGTAAATACAGTAAAGGTATACCTGTATACTAGTGCACTAAGGTATTTATATACAGTACAAGTGGCTATTCGCAGTTTTGCCAATTTGCGCCATTTCTTGGAACCTATCCCTCGTGAATGGCAAGGGTCTACTGCATACAAACATATATCACATGGAAGAGAAAAGGAGCGAGGTGCAAGTGGGGTCCGGTACAACATCTGGGCACAAATGGACTCTCCCCATACCTGCCATGCAAATGTTCCAAGATGTTTTTTTTTATACTACAGAATGTCAACAAAATCACTTCATATGGAGTCTATTTTACAGTGCATAAGCTTCTCCAATGAACAGTTATCACTGAAATAACCCCCACCTGATAGGGTTAGTCGTTTTTTTTTACCATATGCAATAATTTTTCACTTTTGAATATTTTGTAAAAATTTCCTCGTTTATGGTTCTGGGTAGAAGCGGAAGGATGGGGCACAGGTCACACTATATGTCATGGGGTTGGACAACCAGGAAGCAACAATGTTAGTGAATGAGGAACAGTATTTATTTATTTATATTATTTTATTAAAAAAAACTAATTTTTGAGGGAGATAGGTAGGCTTGTGCAATACAAGTATACCACATTTAGAGCCTTGTTGCAGAAGACGGATACCTTAGTATAGTACAGTACTAACCATAATTTACAGCAATAATGTACAGTTGCTAGTTTCCAATCACGCTCCATTACAAGACCCAAGATATATATTTACGTCCATTTCTTTTACAGTTGCTACCTGTGGTACACCATTCCTCCATAAAGAGAAATACTGTAATGTATTTAAATAAGGGAAAGAAATTCTAATGCCATTTCTTAAAATACCTTATAAAACCATTCTATCTATCAAATGAAGTATCTCAATTTCAGGTTCAGTACAATACATGAAAAGGATGAAACCCAGTAATGTATGAAGACTTGGACTCCAGTCCTGTTGAATATAATAGTTCAAACCTGAGGAAATATTTCTGTTGACCCTACAAAAGTTTCAACACTGTGGGTAGCAAGAGAAAAACCGGTGATAATTAAAAGCGGCTTTATTTAGGCAGAGGTATCCATAGCAGTGAACTTCTCTTTATCCTTGCCCTGCCTTGCAGCACGCCCAGCCGCTCTCCTTTCAATGATCTTCTTGCGATCTTTGTCCATCTTGAGTTTCACCACACAAACCTAAAAATATCAATAGTTTTGCAAAACCAAACCAATAAAAAATATATATCAGTAACAGTAATTTGTCTATATCTTCCATACTAATGAAAACCAGGTTTAATTTATTACTTTATAATTAATAACCTAAAATTAAGTGTAACAATGTTTCTTAAATCAGACATACCTGTTTCTTAAAAAAATCTTAACTGAACTTGTGTTCATAAATTCCATAAAACCATAGTTAACCTCAAATTTTATGAGTATGGAAGCCATATGTTATGTTCAGCAGCCATTTTAACATCCATGAGCCAGACATTTGCATGCCTGGTGCAGAAGCTGAAGAGCCTGTGTGTCAGGTGGAGATCTAGACAAGAGAACCTTGCCTATACCCCAGGGACTGCACACCGTAACGGACAAGGTCACAACTTTCCAGCAACTACTCTCTCAGAGAATGGATTAGCAATTATCATCATGTTTTATAACTGAATATGCATAAAAATAAGATTCCTGAAACTTTACAAATGACAGCGGTGTAAATCATTATTCAAAGCACTCACAACAGAATATGTATTGCCACATTAGATGCGACAGCTAAGTGCTGTTGAAAGAGCTACTCACAATGAGTCCCGAGAGATAGCCACTACTTTTCCAAGTAAAACTTCCAGAATTAAGGACAAATACTCAATGCACATTACTATACAGTCATCCCTCAGTTAACGAATTACCTTCCATAAGATTCTTAACTTCGGTTAACGAATTCCTTACGAGCGCCCCTCAACACGTTTTCGCTTGCACACTAGCTGTCATATTAGTCAGCCAATACAGTTATCAGTTCTAGAGCTTAAATTCCTTACCATTTTAGTAAATATCCATTAGTTTGTACTATTCAATTATTTTAAGTCTTATTTTAAATTTTTTAATAATTTTAACAATTATTTAACATAATTTAAGTACAGGGAAACTAGTTTTTAGCGCGCCAAACAGCCTGTCAACACACCATACAGGCGCCAGTCTCTGCCATTTCAGTGGAGGTAACATCTTGCTTCAGACACTCAACATAAACACTTTTTTCTGTGTTTCCAGTCAAATTATTAGTCATTTTGAATTTTATTTTACATATTGACAATATATAATGCAGTGCAGTGTTGATTTAAAGAAAATAATCTTGAATTACACCAAGTGAACTAAAATTTTATGGGTGAAATGGCACCATGGGGTGACTTCTCTTCTCCCTTCTCCTCCACCCCCATTCTAATTCCCATCATGGAGAGTAGCAATCTCACTAACACCTGGTTGTTACATCTAATGTGACAATACGAGGTCTGTCATGACAAATTAACAAATGCTCTAAATTGAGTCATTCACTAGGCCTTTTATCAAAAGCATAATTACCTTAGAGGGGTGGATGCCCACATAAACTGAGGCACCATTAGCCTTTTCTCTCTGGATTCTTTCAATGTAGATGCAGTATTTCTTACGGTACACACTGACAACTTTACCCACTTGCTGGCCTTTGTAATGTCCACGAACAACCTGAAAATTTTCAAGGGAGAAGTGAACACAAACAAAGTTCATTACCATAATTAGTAGACTGAGATACACATAAAAAGCAAGAAGATATGAGCCTCATGGAAAAAACTAGTGCGCTAACACAAGAATATACACCCCACAACACCAGCTTCCTCTAGGAGTACTGCAAAGTAATTCTCCAAAATAGCAAAACCCTTTAGTGGTTTCAGAATACTGTACAATACACTCACATATTCCAAGGGGATTGAATTCTAGAAAAACACCCCAGATATCATACTCATGCTACTCAACCTTAACCTCATGCGGGAAAAACGGCATTGCTTTCCTGTGTTGGAATTTATGTTCAAACTCACACACTACAGCACTGTTGCCCGACTAAAATAAAGGATAATACTGTAAACTTAAATGGGTAACTATAATGTGCGTGTATTCCACTGACACCACAAGTGAACAGGCAAACACGTAATCCAGGTACTTTTACGCTTGGGGTTCTGTTTACATTAAAAAAGAAAAAAATTGTGAACCCCTTAAAATCGAAAACACCCATAATTCATATTGTTTTGCTGTTCAGAAATATTTATTACAAATTTCTTAGTATTTGGTAAAATTTTGAAATACCTGTACAGTAGTGTATTACAATATACTGTAACTGGCACAAATATAATTATACAGCATTAAAATTTATGTAACATATGGTAAAACTTCAAATTAGGAAACATTTATGATATATATGATGAACATGTTGCCATGGAATGTGACCACCCACCACAGTGTAAACAAGTATTATACTACAGGTACATGCATGTCGGTCACGGTCAGTTCACACTGGTCAGTTGTGGAGATCACAGCTATGTTCTTATGCACAAGATTTTTCCACTTGTTTTTCATTGCTGCCCAGTGTTTGAGCCATTGTCTGATAATCCTGGACCAAGCACCTAAATCTGGTACTGTACATTGAAATGTTAAAATTTTGATTGCGGAAGATAACAGAATAGCACCCCCCACTCTCATAACAGCTAGAGCCCCATTATTTCAAATTATGAAGGTTTTACTGTACAGTATTTTTAGAATGCAAACACATGGGGTCCCGTGGACAAGAGGGAATTGTGCAGCTTCAGACGTGAGAAATGTTTGGTTTCTGCCTTAAAACTGTTAGTTATGAATGCAGAATATATATCTCATTTTGCATTTGCTAAGACTGTTCTCTATCTGCTCCATACATGTAGCGTATATGTAATAATTAATAATATTAACAAGTCCAGTAACATTTTGAGAGTACAAACCACAAGTACTGAAAATATATCTATTCACTCACTTCCCCCCATATTGTTGCCAATCATTTGAAAACATCCTTTTGTTATACCAGGAGCTTGGAAATTTAATTCTCAAGAGATTGGCAAGCATAGAAAATCAAATAACTGCAACTACACAAGAAATGGTATAAGAATTTACATAATACAGTACAGTTTTAAGTAAATAAAAACAAAACCTGCATAAAGATTGGGGAATGTGGAAGCAAAGGTAAAAAATGACCATAAATAAAAATGGAATTTTTTATAACTGCAAATTTCATAACTGAAATCCCCATACAGTATTTCATATACAGGTGGAGGTATTAGTGTTTTCAACACAAACCCCCTTGATATTATTATACTTTTATAGAAATCTACACTCTTCATCCAGCATTAGTAGGCAGTGTTTGTTCATCTTAGACACATAGCTTATGGACCATACAGCCACACTGAGTTTACAATGTTAAACGCCCTAATATTTCTTCTAAACACATTATGGAAAAAAAAACTAGATATCAGTCCTCATCCCCGAAAATTCAGCTGCTGTACTGTTACATCACAACTACCATTACAAAACTCTGCTTCCAATATTCTCCATTGTCATAAACTAAACACTGTACACACCTGAACTTCATCATCCTTGCGGATTGGGATTGAACGAACATTGTATTTCTGGCGCAGTTCTTTGGAGAGTGGGGAAGACATAAACCTTCGGCGAATGTGCGAGGGCGCATTGAAGTAGCGATGCCTGTTCTTGCGCCGAGACGAAGTTTTCAACTTGTTAAGCTTCATGGTGGATACTGAAACAAATATAAAAATACTGTAGATTAGTACCTAAGTTGAAAAACTTAACATTTTCTGTAGCTTAATTAAATTTCAGTAGCCTATTATAAATCTATGAGCCAGGAAGACTCCTGGTGCAGAGGCTGGAAAGCTTGTGTGTCAGGTGGAGATCTAAACAAGAGAACCTTGCCTATACCCCAGGGACTGCACACAGCGACGGACAAGGTCACACACTCCCAAGCAACCGCGTCTCTCAGAGAATGGATTAGGAATTTTCATCATGAAACAAATGAATAGATAATCGAGTATATCTTTAAAAACTTTAACAAACCAAACAATTTACAAAAGCCTTTTGGTATCCGTGGTTTTCCATATTAATGGGTTACATCTAGGCAATATTCCCAGATGCAGCACTACCATCTCCCTTTGCGGAAACTTATGTGAGGTGCTATTGAAAGGCAGCACATGTGTGTTTGTTGTATGTCCCCCTTTATAATCTCACCACAAGAGTTAAGCTATGGGTACCTTAACTGCTTTGTTAATAATGTTCTGGCGTTTTTATAATCGTTTTCAGTTTCAGCTGCAGGTTAGTCCTATATAATAAGTAGTATGTGCTGGAACGCAGTTCAATTCTGGTCACCGTAGTACATAATGGATATAGAATCCTTGGAAAGAATTCAGAGGAGAATGATAAGACTAATCCCAGGCATTAGGAACCTTGAGTACAGAGACAGGTTAAAGCATCTTAATTTGTACTCCCTCGAGACGCAGAATGAGGGGCGATATGATAGCCGTGTATAAATGGAAGTCAAGGCTAAACAAAGGGGACATTACAAAGGTACTCAAACTATCCAACCAGGAGCGAATTCGTAACAATGGTTTTAAATTAAGACAAATTTTGATTTAGGCGCAAAATAAGTAAACATTGGTTTGGAAATGTAGTGGACAAGTGGAACAAGTTACCAAACATCATCATTAACTCAAATACGCTGGATAGCTTCAATCATAGGTTGGATGGATATATGAGCGATAGGAGTTGGGTGTAAACAAGAGTGCCCAGTATGGGCCAATAGGCCCGCTGCAGTTTCCTTCATTCTTATGTTCTAAAGTTTTAAAAGTAGGCTAGATAGATTCATGGATGCTAGTGGTAGTATCTCTCGACAGGAGCTGCCATGCACTGGCCAATCGGCCTATTGCAGACTCCTTATTTTCTTATGTACCCTTAATCCTCTTCACGGGTCCGACTAATTACCCAAATGTACCCGCAATGAAGTCAAATAATGGTCCTACATGAATAAATCGGGTTACCAAATGCTTTGCGAGTAATTACCCAAATGAAGTCAAATGATGGTCGTACAAGCGTAAATCGGGCTGCTAATCACTTCTCTACTAGTATTTGGTGTCAAAGTAAAAAAAAAATTGGAAAACTTACTTTAATCTGAGTTGTGTTAGGTTAGATTAGGTTAGGTACATGCACTTGATCTATTAACTCAGATTAAATAAAGTTTATCAATTTTTGTGACTTCGTGACACCAAATACTAGTCGAGGTTAGGTTAGGTACATGCACTTGATCTATTAACTCAGATTAAATTAAGTTTACCAATTTTTTGTGACTTTGTGACACCAAATACTAGTCGAGAAGTGATTGGCAGTCCGATTTATTCATGTAGGACCATTATTTGACTTCATTGCGGCTACATTTGGGTAATTAGTCGGACCGCTCTTCACTACTGATCGGATGAACTCTCTAAATTATGGATGTCCAACTGCCATGGTATTTATAATTTGAGCAGTTTAATGGTGGAAAATTCAGTGTTAGAACGCAAACTTTATATTATTCCCGATATGTAACCGGTAAATACCATTGTTATAACCTAAACACCTGGCCTGGGTCTGAAACTTCCAACACATCACCCCTATAACCAGCACGCAGTATAAAAAATAACGTTCAACTAAAAATCGTTGCATAAGTTCCACTATATTCATTAATTAAACAATAAAAGCAGTTTAGAGTATAATAATAGTAAACAGACTGATCAAACCCGGCGATAATACAGGCAGTGGTTTCTTTTCGTTCTAAATTTTACGATTGGTAGATCACAGCTGCCTCCTGGCTAGTTTTATCCCGTGTGCCTATCTCGAATAATGTAATTACAACCTTTAGATAACAATTGGAGGGGATATCAGCATAAATTCACTTAGTATACCAGATTTTCCATGCAAAATTTTCACGTGTTTACCTTGCTTGGTCCATCAACATTTCCAAAAACATGAGACGGGCGATATCTTTTAATGTTAAAATAAATCATTATCTGTTTTCTGCAAAACTATTTACTGGTAAAACCTACCACTTCAATCTTCCAACTATATTTTACCACTTCACAGACACTAAAATACATTATGATAACGCAGATTTAGCGGGATAAAAAAGAAGACTTGAAGCTACGTACACTCACCCGCGTCCACCACAGTAGAGGAGAGGCCGCACGCCGCGATGCATCCTGGGAACCTCTGACAGGCGAGCCAACCTTAACAACCATCAATCAATGCAAGGTTTTATTCTTTTAAATTTATAAATTCATGTAATTAACTTTAGATTTAGATAAATTATACATAATTTTATAATTTTGTTATGTACCGTTTAAGTTTAAACACTTTTTGTTAAATGTGTTACTTGGATCAGCTGATAAAGACTGTCAGCCCTGCAGTGTTGTAAACATGGCGGCTGCTGGTGGAGTGGTGAGGACTGGGCTGGTAAGATTTCCTATTTTTTCTCTGGGTGTAAGTCATGACGTGTAAAAATGTATCGGTATATTTGTGACCCTTTACATGATAAATATACATAGCTGTAAATAACTTTTTATATGACTTGTAAATAGGTTAAAAATAATGTACAGTATTTATTCTGGCTGAAAAAAAAGATTATTTTCGACTTAGGTAACCTACTAGTATAAATAAGCAATACTCACAGATACTCACAGATGATCTTCTGGAAGAGGCTCACGCCTGTGACTCCAGCTCAATAGCCTCTTCTCTACTCAGACGGTGGCTGTGTGTGGCGGATAATTGTGCCCTAAAATTATATACTTGTTGATTTTTCCAGTATTTATCTAATTTTGCTTCAAACTTTTCCACCGTCTCCACATTCACTAGCCCACTCAGGTAAACCATTCCAGCTTTTAAGTTCCTTGAAACCTGGCTTTCACTCTGTAGGCCTACAGTCACCTAATTCAGGCTCAATTAAAAATAAGATTTCAGGGTCAGCACATTATTTCGTACACTTGTTACAAACCCCTGCTTGGGCCTTGTCTCTTCTCATGTTGAATACATGTACATACAACATGTATGTTATGTTTAGACATAATAGCTTTAAATAAACATTATAAGACCAAGATAGTTTTTGTTTGTCTCAATATCTTCTCATCTACAGGCTTGTGCTAGTCGTCGATACCTGAATTCCCGGCTGCTTTGTACAAGAGCTGGGACTAGATTATGTAACCATCAGGTGGCTCCACAAATTGACAGAGCCATGGGATTCAGGCCTGCACCGCTGACACTTTTGTCAGAGGATGAAATGATGATGAAAGAAACAGGTGAGATTTTCCAAAAGAATCTTGTCAATATTTTATGTATTGCTGTACAGTATTTGGAATGTTTGATTAAATCAATAGAAAGGAACCGATTTTAATATACTGTACAAGATCTGTTTTACTAATCTCATACAGAAGTGCCTGGTCCTCAGCTCATACATATGTGAAATGTGGAGTTAGGAAATTTCTTGTCCCTTATTTGAATACAGTACTGTATACTGTAGGCTTTATTTTCCACCTCCCAATTATGTTCGCTTCATATACAGTAGTTGAGAGGCCAAGCGAAGGGCAACAGGCCATAAATGAAGGATTGTTGTTAAAATTCTATATTATTATCAAGCCTGAAATGAGGCTGCCTGAAACCTTCCCACCTCTTAATGGGGTTAAGGCCTGAAAGGACCTTAAGCCTTTTTTAAACTGTGTTAGTTTTCAGTCTAACATTAAATTCTAAGCCAAAATTGATACAGCACCCCCAAATTTAATATTTCCCAATTGTAGAACTAGCAAAGATAACACTACTCTCACTGTCTCATGTATTCTTTACTGTACAGTACAATTTATGTACATCATGTATAAAATTTTAAAATTTTTTAACTATAATCTGTGTTCACTCTTAAAGCAAAACCTGAAGCTTTTGTCTCAGGCTGATGACCTCAGAGAGTTCATATCTTTTGTTTATCTGAGAGTCTTCTCAGTTGGCTCATGGAAAGAGCATTTTGCATTATGCTGGGATAGTTTTTTGTTTGTTTGTTTTTCATAATCACTGGCTTCTTTGAATCATGAACCACCTGTGGAACCTCTTGATCATAAACAGGGGAATTGAAACTTGAATCCCATTTTATGATCAAGAGGAAAGCAGATTGTTCAGTTTCCCACTCTCCTTCCTTTAGTGTGGAATGGAGTGGCCAGATCTGGATCTATTTGCCTCTTTTTCTGTGACAAAGACATAAGTTAAATGAGTATTCCAAATTGTTTTGCATGGTGGGGGGACTTGATTTTTTCTTTTAAATTGGAAGAACTATGTGATTAAAAAGGTCATTTTCTTTTAGAAATGAAAGATCTAGACACAGTTGGAAAGATGGTTGCTTTGGTAGCAACCTATCGATATATCCGAGACTCTGTCGTGCATGCAGATTATAGTACAGGGTAATTTGTAAATGACAAACCATATGCTTGCTTCATGATGATAAAGTGGGATTTCATGATGCAATCTTTCTTTTTTGAAATCACTAACTCCAAACGTCTTTATCTTTACAGTGTCCAAATTTGCAAGTGAGAAGATTGCTCCACTTGTCAGCAAGATGGACGCTGAAAGTAATATTGATGAGTCAGTTCGCAAGGGCATGTTTGACAATGGGGTGAGTTAAGCTTTAGGGCAAAAGAATAGTGTGGTTCAAATCCAGGTCGTAAGTCGAATTGTTCGAAAGTCGAAAATGCAAAAAATAATACATAGAAAATCTAAAGTGAAATACAGTACAGTAAAAGTAATCAATATTGAAGAATGAATGCAGTGTTACTGTGCACTTACCTTTGATGTAGTCAGCTGAATGCACACGGGGCCCCAATAATTTTTTAATTATACATGGAGACTACATTAACTGGATGAAGCAGAGGAGGAGACAGGGCTAGGTGGGTCATCACTGTCGCTTTCTTCAGACGGGTTAACATACAGGGGAAACTAGCTTGTTGAAGGTATTGGATCATCTTTAGGGAGTGAAGAGGCAGTACTGGTGGGGCGTGAGGAGACTGCAATGGGGGACTTCTTAAAATATTTGTCCAATTTAGACTGCACAGTTTGCCTTGTCTTTTCATTGTAAATCTCCCTGTAGCAAGGAAGTGCATCTTGGATCATTCTGTCAAATTTTGCAAACGCTCAACATTTTGATCCATTTCTTCAAACATTTGCATCCCCTTATTAATTGTAGCAAATGCCTCTGCCATTTGTTTCACTGAAAATCTTTGGGGGGTGCTGGTTCTTCTACATTTTTACTCTCTTCTTCCTCTGCAATTTTCTGTGCGTGATTATAATTATTTCAATATTACAGGTACAGTATTGTTATTTTATAAATCATGATACAGATATCCCTCATTTTATGATAACTATTTATGATACTGGACTGTATTTTTATTTTACAATATTTTTTTAGTTTTACAGTACAGTACTATACCTGTTAATATTTTGGGGGAGGTGAAAAACATGCATTTACTCATTACTGTATATCTAAAGTGAAGAAATATTACCTATGATCCAAACAGTCTGACTGGCTAGCACTTATTGTAATGACATTATTTACAAGCCAACGGAATCTTTCAAATTCAGCTCCATGTCTCGGCAGGACTCTCCTGCAATTGCATTTTCCAACCAATATATCCAATTTACAGATGTCAGGAAAGTGACCAGTAAGTGAAATGAGCTGCAGCAATACCTGTAGTAGTAAGATCCCTGCATAACCATCACTTTAGATGTTATGTTGGAGGAAATAGGGTGCATTGGGGCTGGCAAAAAGATGACAGCCATCAGTAGAGTTTGTTCTCTTGTGTGCGGGGTCCCCTTTTTGCTGAATTAAATCATCTGGCACTAGTCAAACAAAATATTAAAAGTGGCATCTCATAGTGAAGGGGTTAAGGACTATTCCAGTCAAGTGTGACAACTAAGAAACAAATAACAGTTGTTTTTCATTAATTGTTGCCTATACAGGGTATACTGTACTGTACACATTAAACCCTTGCCAACTCAGACCCCATGATACTTGGACTGAGTTAGCCACCAACACCTTTTTATACATTTCGGAGAATATCCAAAATCGATGGGCAAACTTGGACAATCATAAGTCCCCCCTTACGATTTTAGAACTTTCCTGAATTTTCTAGAAGCATCCCTAAGATTCTTGACAGCTCCCGAGTCCCATCATACATACATACATACATGGTATGGGTGGTCTCCCAGGTTGTGTAGTGGATATGCTGTGGATTTGTAGTGAAAATTTTGTGTATGTGTAGTGGAGAGATGGGAATATATTATGTAGTGGAGATAATGTGGATGCTATGGAGATGATGTGGATCTGTAGCTATGTTGTCAAGGTCAAGTAAATCGCATCAATCATCGGTCTCACTATAAATGCGCATCGTCATAACTTTAAGGCTAGATTTATTTATTGATTGTTTTATGTTTTTTTTCTTAAACAATTTATTAATTCTCCATGTTAAAATCTCTCAAGATACTAGATATGGACTTTGCCTTTTATCTCAGACTATTGCCCTTAGATTCTCAAACCTAGGTTGGACTTGGACTCATCCTCCTATCTCAGACTTAATTGCCCTCGGATTTCAGACCTAGGTCAGACTCAGGCCTACTCAGAAAATTGACCTTCTTGGGTTGCCCTTTTCCTCAATTAGTCTGAGTTGGCAAGGGTTTACTGCACTGAATTTCCAATTTTTGTGCATACCAGCCTTTGTGTTGTGAAATACCTGTACTATTTTATTCTGTTTTTTTCTTTTTCTTTAAGGAAATGCATCTCCCAATTTATAATAATAATCAATGGAAAAATACAATTTAATTTACAATAGGGTTTTCAATTGTGCATGGATACCTGTACTTTCACATGTAGGAGGCAAGTGTTCTTCACTAGGTAAGAAACTGATGTCTCTTTTTTTCCTTTGGAACATTCTGCTTAACGTAAGTGTTTCTATATGACTAGGATTCAAGGGAGGGGGGAGAGCACAGTAAGTCTCCAAGTTACGTCAATTCTACTTATGTTGTTTTGATTAAGTAACTTAAACAGATTAAGGAAAAAAATTCTGCATAGTTGTGTTTGCTCCTATATAACTTTATTTTTTCCATAATAAGCGTTAAAATAAATTAAGTAGCCTATTAGAAACGTTTTCCAGCATTATTGCTGACAGCTGACCGTTTGAAGCAGCAATGCTGCGCCAGTCTTTCAAAGTACTCATAGTCATGAGTGGAAAATTTTCTACAGTTACTACATCAGTTGTAAATGGGGATTTATGGATTGGAGTGTACTATAAATAGTTTACAAAATACATATCTCTTAATATGTCTTTTTCTCTTATTACAGTTCATGGCTGTTGAGATAGAAGAAAAGTATGGTGGTTGCGGATCAACATTTTTTGTGGCAAACTTGGTTGTTGAAGAACTTGCAAAAGTGGATGCTTCAGTAAGCGTTATGTGTGATATCCAGAACACATTGGTGAACACTTTGTTCCGTAAATTGGGCACAGAAGAACAAAAAAACATGTACCTGCCAAAGCTTGCAACAGAATATGTAAGTTATATAAAAAAGAAGTGTACTGTATTAACTATTAAAATTATGCTATTTAAGAACTGTACTTTCTTCAGTAAGAATAACATACTGTAGATAACAAAATTAATTCCTGGTACTGTATACCTGTTCTTAAGCTTATGCATTGTAACACATTACATTGCCATATTCTGTTATTCTTCCAGTTTGCAAAATAATTCCCATTTACAGTGTTAATATATACTGCATCTAGTGCATCCTTAACCCCACCCTTCCATTATCTTTTTAATCCTCCCTCTCACCATCTACCTTTGAATTATGCTACAGGTATTTTGACTAATGTTTCATTCCCATCTTCTCAGTGCAATGAAACTCACTACTGTAGTTTAATATTCACAATTTGGTATTTGGGGCTTTTTTCTTTTTTTTTTACGGGAATTAGCCCACCCGGGTACAGGTCACTGATCCACATCGGGGCCTGGGGGGCGAAAATTTTATAATAATAATACAGTAATAATAATAATAATAATTCATAGTAAATATAATTTATAATAAAACATACAAAATTTAAAAGAAAATATTAAAATAATAATAATGATAATAATAATAATAATAGCAACACTGTAATAACAATAATAATAAAAAACCATAAAAAATACAAAAATTAAAAGTGAGAAACAATATACAGTATGTATGTTGTGTTGTCAATAGTAAGAGAAACAATTGAGACCCTGCAATTGTGTGTAAATGAGGCAGAAAGTCAGATCAGCAACCTGGGACTTGGTCACAATTTTCATGATGCCATATGGCAGCAGGGTCTACCATTAGACAACACATTATGCTTCCAATATCTTCCCAGGCGGTAGTACCTCCCTGTTTGGTAGCTGCCTACTACCTATTACCTAATTCAATATCTTTAATTATGTACAGAAATTTAGATATGCAATTTACAGTAAAATTTTCTGATACTGTGGTGCGAAAAATATCAAAATACCTGTAGTGTAGTCCAAGTCTTGAAATAACCCACATGGCACTGCTCGTGAACTGTTCCTGTACTGTTGTGTTGACCTGTGTCCCCCCACCCTGAAGTGAGGCCAGCACCATTGTGGCCATTAACAAAATTTATTATGAATGTACAGTTCAGTGAAGTACTGTATCTGTCAACCAAAAATCTACTTTATGAAATAATTTATTTTCTGAAAGATTTGAGAATTTTACATGTGAAATTTAAAAATATAATAATTTTTCATTAATGGTATTACATGAGAATAAATGAGATATTGGACAATTAGGCAAATGGCTCAGTGATTGTGTTTAGGGTGATGGTGTTGTGTTTATGGTGATGGTGTGAGTGACTAGTAGGTGTTGTGTTTATGGTGATGGTGTGAGTGACTAGTAGGTGTTGTGTTTATGGTGATGGTGTGAGTGACTTCTCTACAGTACAGTACTTGTCTTCATGTGAACTTTAGGAGTAATTTATATACCATAGTGATTCAAGGAGAATACATTATTGACCCATTGAAAGCTTATTTGTAAGCTCAATAACGATAATATAATAAAACTGACACAAGTTTTTGCTTGCTTTTCAGTCAAACACCAAAGCACGTGACCCTTAAAAATTTTGAATTTCTCTTGAATTGTGAGGCAAATTTGGCAGAAGTCCAGAATTGTAATTTTAGTATGTTGAGGACAGTTCTGTATTTTAGACTAATTCAATCAATTCAGAGCCCCAAAAATATCAAATTAAGTGAGGTTTAGTGTATGTCTATTCTACCTGAGCAAACCCTGCTCCACTCTTTACAAAACACTTTCTTCACTTCTACATCTCTTCATTTCTGTGTTTCTTATTCTTTGCATAACGTTCACCCAACACATTGAGCTATACCGCACTTTAGCAGGTTTGTACATGATGACTCATGTTCTTAAGTTTAAGGGGATTTTGTGTTAGCATGTGATTTTCATTTTTAGATCATATGTGAACCATTGGGGATATCTTCAAGTGGCTTGGATAAGTTGGGTCAGTTTAATGAATGCAATGTCAGTAGGGGTGACTTTTGAACTTCCTCTGTTGTTTCCACTACCTGAAGTACTCTTCCAACTACATATCTCCTTTGGTATATGGCAGTTCAAGACTATCCCTGCACTCAGGAGGAAACATAGGAAACACTATTTTCTACAAACTTCTTCCAGTACCGGGTATGTCTTGTAAAAGTGGCCAGTCCTCTTTCTCATCTCCTCTCATGAATTCTTAACCACTCTGCTCAGTCAATCTCCCTCACATTTTTTTGACTACTCATTTTTTTCAGTTTTACTGAAATGCAACTCCAGTACTACTGTAATCCCCTTCACATTTTCCCACAGCAGAAGACTAGGGTGCAACATGCCTGAGACTTTTTGTTTATTCATACTATAGGTCTTAATTCATTAATTGACCATCATTTTATTTTTCAGACAGGGAGTTTCTGTCTTTCTGAAGCAGAATCTGGTTCAGATGCTTTTTCCATGAAAACAACAGCCATAAAGGATGGAAGCAATTTTGTCATCAATGGTTCCAAGATGTGGATATCATCAGCTCCCCATTCTGGTGTGTTCTTGGTCATGGCTAATGCAAACCCTGCTGTTGTGAGTAATCAGATGAATTTCCGTTTTCCTTTGTCTAATTTCTGAACTTGTGATTATTTTTCTAATGGAGTGTTTTACAAGGTCAAGCCAATGTGAATAAGAGTAGGAAAATGGTTTCTATAAGGTAACTTAGACTTTACAATTCTTACTTTCACTAGATGTACAAATTGCTTGTAGATGGAATACTTAAGTATGAGATCACATTTTATAGCCAAGGAAATGATTGACGTGTGATACCCACATGAAAGCACCCTTGACCATCCAGTCTTTGTTAGGTGGTACTTGACATATTCCCACTGTCAACTCAGACCAGTGTAAGTGTTGTGTTCAGCTCAACACACCATACCTCTTCTTCTGCAGGATTAACATGAGAATATATGTTATTAAGGAATAAATGGAAATTCTGTACATACACATTATTGATACAATTTATTTCAAAAGATCTACAATATATGAACTAGGATACAATATAAAGGACAATACATTTCTCCTCCTTGGCCTTGGGAGCAGTATGTAAAGGATCCCCTTCCTGTTCCCATTGGAATGAATTTGTATTCTAAGTTGTAGAATTTGGGATAAAAGTATTTGCACTATATAGATGCAGTGGCAATAAGGTGTGTAAAAGGTTCATCTGAAGATACACAACCCAATAACAATATGGAAGTACAGGATACTGTACAATATTTCCTTTTAGGGGGCATTCGCTAATTTATTTGACATCATCCCTCCAACCAACTCATAAAGTCATCACTCATATCCATGACATACCGGTACACAATATGAATTACCTGGTTTCACTCCCACTTCCCTTTCTGTGGGTTGTAAATTAACAGGAACTGAAGTGGTTAAAGTAAAAATCCCTTACTTGGCTGAAGTTAGTTCTGAACATGTAAACACAACTAAGTTTTAACTCCAGCCTGATATTTCACTAGTCTTCAAGATATATGATGGATCAGAGGTTAAAAAAACCAATATCTCATGAGAAGAAGCTGCAATGTTCCCATAGAAATTGTTCCCTGCTGTTAAATACTGTATGTCAAACCCTTTGCTAAAGGCAGACATTGCCTGGGGTGGTTGATAGAGGTAGATCCTCAGAGGTCACTCATTTCATTCCCTCAGTTTGTCATTTATAGATAAGTTATAGTAATGCACTTAATTTGTGTTTTTAGGGCTACAAAGGCATTACCTGCTTCCTTGTTGATGCAGGCACCCCAGGTCTCAGTATTGGGAAGAAAGAGGACAAGTTGGGGTTGCGAGCCTCCAACACTTGCACAGTACACTTTGAGAGTGTCGTGGTAAGTAATGTCAGAAAACAGCTTAACCTATAGTTATAAAAGAAAGCGTGAAATTTGGAAGTGAACAAAAGTTTGGAAGTGTGAATATTGCCGGCAGTACATGAGAGAACACGCTTGTAGTGTCAACTGACTGATGGCCCATTTGCATCATGTAAACTAAACAGCAAGAATTTAGGATGATACAGTAACTCATCGGGTCAAGCTTCTTTTTTTTTTTTTTTTAGAGCATTATATCCAATTTTAGAATTGAAATCAAGGTATTAATACAGTAATATATTTATTATAGATGTTGGCTTAGCCTTTCATACTGTTCATTTTGTTTCAAATCTCATGTGGTATAAAATTATTATTGTACTGTACAGTACTGTAAATATTTCACTTAGCTATGTTTATTTTTGGCTTATCATCATTGTGTACATAAAATATTGTTATTAAAACATATTTTGAGGTACTTTAAGATGATTTGAGTGAGTATTTATTTTTGCATGAACAAACCTTAGCTTTTATAATGGAAAAATGTGATCCAGCTTACAAAAGGTTTTTCAGGAATGAAACCCTTTCATAAAGCAGGGAATGCCTATAGGACATTTTAAAGTAGCTCGGAGTAAAGTTTTTCAGTCATCTCATAAGATCAAGGAATTACACTTACTATTTTTTATGGCCTACAGATCATTCAACAAGTGACCTGTGGGATTTCCAAACTAAAACACCACCTAGCTGAGCATGCCTTGTCCAGGGGGTTATTTGCATTCGAGATGCAGAGACACCATCCTGTCAAATCCTTGTAAATTGTTTATACTAACACCACATGCTCAGTTGAATCTGCTGGTAGGGCCTTAACCCTGATGTGGTGGGGTGGTCTTAATAGAAATGCCCAGTAAGTCACAAAGCAGCACATTGAGTATGAATGCTAGAGAAGATTCATCTTGATTCAGACCACTCACCCACAAACTTCAGACTTTACATTTCCCTGCTTTTAGTGTACTGTCTACTTGCATTGTATATATTCTGCTGTTTTCTTTTATGGATGTATCCATAGGTATGCATTAATATTTATGCTTCTTTTATGGCCTAACACATGGACCAATTGAATCATGTATTATGCACTAAATCTACAGGATTAATTCTGGATTTTTTTTTCTTTTTTTTTTTTTTAAAGCTCATACCCAGGCAACTCTGATTCTCTCCTCCATTTGGTTAGTAACTTAGTAAACTGGAACTGAAGTCAACATAAAGACGAACTAGAAATAAAGGTGGCAGGTCCTGATTCATTAGACTTAGCTCTAATCAGATCATCTGCCCTTGAAAATACAATTTCATGTCTCCCCATTTGAGGCTGACAGTGTTAATGGGGAGGGAAGGATGGTTGGTGTGTTCAAGTGGATTAATAAATCAACCCTGACTATGGTATGGGAGAATGTCTGAATACCGACATCTCCAACAAGGAGCTTTCTATTACAAGAGATGCCTGGCTATGGGCTCCACCAGAAAAAGGGAAAAATGTCAGTGGTGTTACAATATACAGTGATTCATTTGTGTATATATATATATATATATATATATATATATATATATATATATATATATATATATATATATATATATATATATATATATATATATATATATATATATATATATATATATATATATATATACTAGCAATGCTAAATACAGTACAGTACATGGTGCAGTATACTGTATGAGTATTTAAATGCACGTGAGGTGTTGACATTCTTGCTCTATTCAATTTGCAGGTCCCAGAAGAAAATATACTTGGACAGTTTGGACAAGGTTACAAATATGCCATTGAAATGCTCAATGAAGGTCGTATTGGTATTGGTGCCCAGATGGTAGGCCTGGCACAGGGATGCCTTGATGCCACTGTACCATACATTTTGCAGCGTAAGCAATTTGGGAAGAGGCTCTTTGATTTTCAGGTACTGTATTATCCAATGTCTGTTTGATTTGCTTTAGATTTTTATAGGAAATTTTTGATTAGGTACAATACAGTAAGATCTTGGATTTCGCAAGTAATATAGACTGAAAAAATTGCGCCAAATTCAAATTCGCCAAATGCAAATACATAAACTAATGGGAAAATAACAATATAGACTGGCCACTCTACATCAACCTCTGATTTTCCCATTTATAACCTCCAAATGATACAAATTCTGCTTTTATTGACCTGATTGTGCTTTCTGGAAAACCAGTAATCTTTCTTATCTCACAAGTTTTAAGCCTTCTTCAAGTAACTTAATCACACGCTGCTTATCCTGCATCGAGTACAGTACTTGGCAAACTTAACCCCCTTACGATAGTCCTGCTTCTCCTTTTCCTTATTTGGCCGCTTAGGTGGGTCTGTCCCACCAGCACCAGTAGGGCCCCCAGTAGAGGTAGAGGCCATTATCTTGACTAGACAGGTGTTAGCACCACCAAAAACAGCACACAATTGCAGCCCGGGCGGTCGGTAGGATGGCGCGGGAGTAACTGGTATGAGGGCTGTGACGTCATACAAGACGGTGGCCGGCTGTTCCACCTCGTGTACTGTGAAATGTTTGCTAAATGGCAACCCAGTATTTATTTATTTTACTTGTTATAATTATATTTATTTACTGTATTCTTCACATATACTGGTACAGTATAAAGGCAACACATTTCATCCGGGCAGTCATGAAACTGACTCAAGAGAAGTGTGTGGCTGCCGCCTGTATGCCCTGACGTCACACAGGGGGAGGGAGAGTGCGGCTGGCCAGTTACCAAAAAACATACTTATGCTGCAACATAAAATATTACTGCGTTCAGCTGGCTGGATCTTGTGAAACTCACGATATTTTATGCCAAATATAAGACTTAGTTATATTTGGTAGTGCTCGAGAAATTAATAAAACACCAAATGAAATCACGCGAAATATGAGATCTTACTGTACTGTATTGTCTTTCATTTTTTCATATGTTCTGGTAAAGTTATCTACAAAATTTTTAGGTAAGTGAACTTTTCTCTCCCATAGGCCATGCAGCATGCTGTTGCTTATCTAGCAACAGAAATTGAAGCTGCTCGGTTGCTGGTGTACAATTCTGCTAGATTAAAAGAGGCTGGGCAGCCCTTTATCAAACAGGCAGCAATGGCTAAACTGTACAGCTCAGGTATGTCACAGTAGTGGTTATACAGTATTACACTGTCAACAAGAATATGAAATGTTAGCAGCTATATTAGAGGTTGTGTCATTCATTTTGGCTAAGGCTTAGATATTTAAAAGTGTTATATTATGCTCCTTAGTTTGTAGTCTGTATTGTTCAGTATTACTTGTACAGTTCACTATTCACTATTGATCTCAGTTAATCCTCACTACATTCTGGCATGTCCCAAAACCTCCTCCTACTGGTCCCCAGTCGTCACCATTACATCATCGTCTCTACCTGACCAGATATCCCTCCCACACATATGCTTGGCACTTGACATTATTATGGATTTACCTCACTTTGCCATAAACAGATGAACCTGTACAGAAATTCCTCCGTGCAGGTATTTACATTCATCCTTCCTTAGCTACATGTAATTTGCAAACACAACCTCAGGTAATCACAACAGTTAATTGTATAAGTTAAAAAAAAAAAGCATGAACTCTGCAGGCTTCCCTGTTGGACACTGTAATTCTTCTGCACTTCACCTTGCACAACATGTAAGTGGGGACAAATAGAACGGGGTGACCTATATTACCATTGATGGCTTTTTATGGCTTATTGGTCATTTGACAAGTGATAATGGATGTTCACAAACTGAATGCACTCTGGTAGAGCCTGTTTTATTCAGGAGGCTGATTGCAGTGCTGGAGCAGGGGCACTGTTCAAGACACATTAGTGAAAATGCTGCAATAAGGCTCCAGACCTGGGCGAATCATTGATTAGTGAGGGCTGAATTTCAACTATGATCCAATGTACTTCATAAAGAATGCAAGCTCAGATCCAGTAATGTCACTTGAGTGAATCTGTTGTCAGACCACATGACTTAAACCTTCCAGTAAATAAACTCAGGTCTACTGTTTAGTTTGCACATTTATTTTTTTTTTCTTGCCTCCAAGCTGTTAACTCCTTTTATAACCTAATAACTGTCATAAACCACTTGTGAAATATCCCTCAAAGTCTGTGTGATTGAAACCCAGGAAACCCATTTACATTGACTCTGATGGTTGGGACTACAGGTATGCCATTAATTATTTATACCTTCCTGCTGCAACTATAGCCCACAAATAAGGTCTTGGAAATAAACTTTGCCATTCAGTCCAAAGGCTAAATAGTTCTGTTGTCACATCAGCAGTGCACGCAGTGTTAACCGAATTTTGTGGCATATAAGATGCACTTTTTTCTTTAAAAATTGCTAAAAAAAAATCGCCCCACTTCCTATGTGTGAAATTGCGTTCTGCCGTAGGCTAATGAATCCCGCATTTGCTGTCTCCAGTTGGCTAAATTCTACCGACCCCAAATCCAGAGTTAAAAATATGCAATTTTTTACTTAAACACATTATTATTACTTTTAAGTAATTAAAAAGGGTGGATTTATAACTACTGATGATGATAACCTGTAACAATTTGCATCTGTACAGCACCCAATTCTTCAGAGCTAAGCACTGACTGTTTCTAAACTTTTAAAAGTGTTACTGTTTATTAATGTCATACCTGCACCATTTATCTCATTATTTTTATTAAAAAACTTCATGTAACTTTTTAAAAAAACTTAAATTATGATGATGATGATGATGAGTAACACTGACAGCCATACCATGCGTTTGTAATTTAGTATCTCAATAGCGCATAATGTCACATATTGGCGTCCAGCAAAGACTTGTATTCAGTTGCCATTTCGTGTTTTTGGAGTTTTTAGTGTGGACATTTAGTACGAGTAAGGATCACAACAATAACAGCTGAGTGAGTACGAACACTTTGAATTTGATTTTACCCTTATTTTAAGAAAACTGTGTTTACTGGAGGAAAATACTCAAAAATTTGTAGCTAAATACAGTCTTCCCTGTTGAAGTATGAGTGTGTCTTATAAATACAGTACTTCAGAAATCTTTTATAAGCTGTATGTTAGAGTGCCAACCCTGGGGATAATTAAAGGCTGTGTCCATATTCCATTTATTGGCAAGGGTGACAAGAGGGGACAGACATGTCCTCGCAGCGAGGCGTCTGAGCCAGAACTAACTGCCGATCGTTGGCGGGCCGATACACTATTGCCAAACCGGCACATACCCCAACACTGTGATAGCAGTATCAGCAAATCTCCCAACAACAATGATTGCCCTTTATTTTGAATATCTCAATTATCCTCGTCTTTTGGAAATGAAGAATTTTTGCTTAGATTAATGTGTCATGGCTTTATAGATGATTTAGTTGTATCAAAAATTCTGTTTCAGTTGGACTGACTTTGGTATTCATGAACCATTAAGTTCTGAAACTCTGGGGAACTTTTTAGCAAAAGAATTAGAATTGGCTCCATTAAAGGTCATTTTGCTGTTGGCTCTTAGAAGCGGCTATGGTTTTGTGTCCATACTGCTATATATACTATATAATTCTCTCAGTTTGGCAAGCCTTAAACTGGGTAAATTTCTTTAAAAATGAGACTCCAAACTGTAGGCCTAATTACACATAATATTTGGCATAGAAAACCAAAGGTGGTTCTCATTGTTTTTTCTGTTCGGTAAAAGTATTTAGTCACATCCCAAATTTATGGAACACTTTCATCAACAAGCATTAATTTTAAATCCTAAATAAAAAAGTGGAGCTTCCAAAGTCATTGCCTTGAAGAGGATTGTCAAGGTCATTAGACTGGCAACAAAACTGCACTGCACATGACCTCATGGATATTGCTTCTTTAAACTCAGGTATATCTATGCATCCAGTCCTACAAATAAGCATCTGGTCATAGGTAAGTATATCCATGTAGCCAGCCAGCCCCTCCCCCCCCCCCCAATGGGTGGCCAATGTGAACGAAATTGGGGTGCTTCTGGTCACTCGCTCCCACCCACCCACACACAGTGAGAAAAGTTTATGAACATTTTAAGTTTGTGACACTATTTTCAATTATACTGTACAGTTATCTATTTACATTGTGTTTGTTGTAAATGGGTGCTATATGGTATCATATAAAAAAGAGAGAGAGAGAGAATCACCTATATGATTATTTAGGAAGCTGGTTTGGAGACCAAACCAAAAATGTAATTGAAAATGTTTATTACAGTAAATTATTCCAGTGAATATACCTCTGAATGTGTGTAGAAACCCAGAAGAGCATCTTTATTGACCCTGCACCCTCTTACAACTTCCTGCCATACTTTTATTTGAAGCAGATAAAGTTTGATTAGAAATCCGAGAGTAAACTAATTCTCACATTTAAAGAATACTGTATTGCTTTTTCATGGTACTGTAATACATGTATGTTAATTATCATTATAGATAGTGTACATTGTACAGAATTTAAGATTACTGTATTCTAACAATCTTGATTAATTTGTCTTTTAGTTATATGTATTATGATCATATACTGTATGTGTGAGGGTACTAAACTTCTTATACCATTTACCATTGTCCTTTCCATACAGAGGTAGCAACACGGGTCACCTCTAAATGTATTGAGCTGATGGGTGGTGTTGGTTTTACCAAGGATTATCCTGTTGAGAAATTTTACCGGGACTGCAAGATTGGCACAATTTATGAAGGCACATCTCACATACAGCTCAACACTATTGCCAAGCTTATAGAAAAAGACTATAACTGTACCATGTAAACACTTTTGTTATATTGAGAGAGAAAAATGCTGTAAAGTTTAACTTATCATTACTGTAATTATTTGTAATGCTTCTACTACAGTACAGTACATCCCAAATTATCTCTTGTGTATGTATTTAGAACTTATTTATCTTTTATTTCCATATTAGTCCTCACAGTATGTTGGCTCTGTTTTATCTAAGACATATGTGACAAACCATAAAACTTATTAAGTATAGTGGTCTTATACAGTATTTTGCAAACAAAATAAAAATAAATAAAAAAATTAAATAGATAAATCAATATAACAGAGAAAGTTCTTGGTTATATTTTTTGATACTTGTACAAAAATATTCTTTACTCTCTGCAATATCATTCAGAAGTGATTGGGCAACATACTTGTATAGCCATTTATATCTTTATAATTTCATGTAAATTTCATCTTCTATTGTTGCAATTCCTCACTCGGGATTTATTGTACTGCTTTCAAGTTGACAGCACTCCGTACTCTCGATTTTATTATATACAGCACTGATATGTTTACCAGCTCAACTACTAAGTTGGTGAGAGACTTTTAAGTATACTCTACAATATTTAGCCTAATGTTTTAGGTGAGTATATTTATAGTTTACTGTGGCAATATAGCTAATAGAAATAGTTACCTGATTATTTTATATACTGTAATGTGTAAGCCATATATGTGATGATAGATTTAAAAGATACTCAATACTGTTTAGATAATTTTCTGATCAAATAACTAAATAATTGGACTTAGGGATTATAATGTTTTAATGAGTATTGAATACTTTTGTATTAGTGAAGTACAGTATTAATGCTTACATTATACACAGTTTTTAGTGTTTATTTTGTCAACTTCAGATGTGTCGAGGTTGTGTTAGTTAATTATCAGGTGTAGTTTAACTTCCTTATTTATTAAGATTTATTGGTGATCATCATTTCATCATTCCATTTACTTGGGACAGAAATAAGGTTTATAGATTTGTGTTCTTAAGTGGAATAGGAAACTATTAAGGGTGGTAGAAGAAATATCTTTGTATTAAGTGGGACCCTTTTTGTTTAGTTAGTATTGGGTCACCATCTGTCAATCAGCAATGTTTTATTCTCAACGAAATAGGAACACGAAACAATTAATTATTTTAATATTTGATTGTTTTCCTAACCTTGTTTTGTAAACTTGTCATATATCTGCAGGCAGCTATTATGAGGTATATCCTAACAAGGTATATGACATGAAATTTTTTAATCTCTTTATTCTTAAGAGCTGATGTGGCCCTAAACCATACTGTTGTATTGTCTCTCTTTTATTGCTTATTTTTCTATGTGTTGAGCTTATGTCACTTACACACTTCCCAACAAATCTTATTGTTATAAAAGATGTGACCTATGATATTTTATTCACAAAAGTCAAAATCACCCATCAACACCATATCCTTTTAAAATAAAATCACTATACAGTAAGTCCTCGCTTAACATCGTGGTTCCGTTCCTGAAAACCCTGATGTTAACGGAATTAATTTTCCCCATAAGAAATAGGTAAAATACGGGAGTTACGTTCCCCAGCCTCCCTTTGCCCCATAAAATACATTACATAAACAAAAATTCAATGGAATTTTTTTAGAAAATAGTATATATTATACATCATAAAAGATAAATACACTAAATAAATTTGTATGTACTCACTGATGGGCGGAGGTGGAGCAAGTGTGTGTGGTAGGTAGTGGAGAGGAGGAGGGTGGCTCCTCCTCCCGCTCTGACTGGGGTTCCTCATCAGCTGCTGTTTTCTCCTCCTTGCTTGCAGACTATTGTGAAGCCATTTAGAATGGTTACGGTATGGTATCGAGAGCAAAAACACTTAAACCTTAACAAAGATTGAGGACGCTGTGACGCTCAGCAAGAAAGCGTAGTTCGCAAAGATGAGAAAGGGTGATGCGCCGTACAAAGTAGTCCGTGACGACGTTATACCGAATCGGCGAGACGTTGTCCGAATCATGGGTATCTAAAGAGTAGCGACGTTATAACGAAGCATTGTCGGGGGCAACGTTAAACGAGGACTTACTGTACAGTAGAATGCTCTCTGCTCATTCACTTTTGTGTTAACAATGTCCATTCCCCATCACTTCCAGTGCATCCTTCACCCAAATCTTCCATCTTCTTGGTCTTACCGTCGAGCTTTCAATTATACACACTTTCTCATCTTCCATTTCCTGTTCTCACACTAAATTTTCATTCCATCTAAACAGGTCCTAATCTGCTCTCTAATACTGCTTTCACTTCCCTATCTTATCTGTATTTTATCACATTGTATCCTGTTTGCTCTACATATTTTATTATACTGTATAGCATTTTCTTCGAGTTACTCCATCCTCTTGTATCTAGAATTTATGTTTCACATCCATATACTGCACACAATAATGTCAGCTACACAGTTTTCCCGTTTTTGCATCCTGTAACTTACCATAGTTCTCTTCCTCCATATAATTATCAAACCACCTGTAGTATTATTTTCTGCTTCTCATTATTCCATTTGCAAACTTTACACTTCCTGGTATCAACAGTTATTTCAACACTACACTTTCTCCATTCAAGCTAACTTTTGTTATTCTTGTCTCATTTCCACTATTTTAACTTTGTCCACATTCACTGGCAACATTTTTCTGGTACACACCCTCCTAATCTCACTCATTACCATTTGTAGCTTTTGTATTTTTCACCTTTTTAACTCCAATCTTCTTGTACTCCCCCCTTATTACAGTATCCTTACATGTGGTGTTCAAATGCCCATCTCCTTACATTAATGAGCACTGATAACTTCTTTGTGTTACTGTTCCCCCTTTTTGTTTTTCCTTCCTGCTTTATACACACATCAGCTGTATTTTTTAACTTTTCCCACTCTTAAACCCCTCTCCCTTTAGTTCCATTTGCACCGACCGACCTTAACTTCAGCATTTCTTTAAAAGTTGCCTTTCACTTATCTAAATCTCTTTCACCTTAAGCCTCCCTTCCACATGATTCTTTATTATCTGTTAATCTCGCCTCTAAAGTAATGGTCACAGTATATCTAACCAAATACTGTACTGGTAATTTATATTTCATTCCTTTCAACCAACACAGTGTAACAATTCTCTCCATGACTCCGCCTCTATGTACTGTACTGTAAATGTATACATAATTGTTTCTCTTTTTCTAACCATGTACTACAGTATCAACCCTGTCACAGTACACATTTCTATCTGTCCATACCCATTCATTCTTGGCACTCCTTTTTTCCATACAACTCCCTCTAATTCTGTGGGAATTTCAATCAGAGTACCGTACTCGTTTCTCAGGGTTGTTGACCATGTAATAGCACCCTTACATTATATAAAAATTCACCCAAATGTATAATCCCAAATTATTCACTAAGCTATTCAACCATGCCTCAGTTATTGACATTATACGTGGCTGAGGTTGTCGTTCCTTCAGGGAGTGAGCAAGGTCAAGCACAGTTTGCATAGCAGTTTATATTGTGGGGGTATGAGATATTGGTTCACACTCAGGACGGGATGGAGAAAGAAAACTCACAATGTGCTCACTGTATACATATTGTATTGGATGTACAATGTAGCTTGTTGCTGGGTAGGTAGCATGGTAATAAGCGTTGAGTAGAGAGAGCTGGGTGGTGAGGGTGCCCAGAGTGAGGGCACGCGGCTTGAGGGACGCCAAGGTCGCTGGCGGGAGCGGCAGCTGCACTGCTGGCGCGGAGGAGGAGGTGTTGCTTGCTGGTGGCACTGAGTAGAAAGAGACTGGTCACAGCGGTGTCAGGCCTTATAAGGCGGGGTTAGATAGTTGACCCTCACTCCGTGGGCGGCGCTGGAGGCGTAGGCTGGGGAATTCGAGAAGGTTCGGTGCTTGTAGGGGAGGAATCCACTACAATATGACGTATTTCCTCTCCCAAACTCTAGAGCAGCGATTTTCAACCAATGTGTCGCTGTGCCGCGAAGCATCCGTAGGTGTGCCGCGGGAGTTTAAATAGCATTTGGATAGCATTTTAAAAAATAGCATTTGGATACGTTTTGACATTACTGGTACTTTTATGGAGCGCATTAAACTCCTTTTTTTCAATGATGCAATAAATAGGTAAACAAATGTGTTGTTCATTAAAAGCCCAAATGGCAGTTTTAATTTCTCTCCTTAATTCCGTAGTGTAGATCCGCCGATCAAATCTATCCTTAAATACTGATGGTGTGCCTCGACCATTTTAGTGCCTGGCTCACTGTGCCGTGAGATGAAAAAGGTTGAAAATCACTGCTCTAGAGGGCAGAGGAGGTCAACTAATTGCTTTGCATGTAGCTGAAAATAAATATCATCTAACTCCTACCTTTCAGGAGCATGAAGTGGAATATTATTACCCCTTATTAGAAGCAACCTTAACACACACGGAAATACTAATACTGAAGTTAATGTCCTTTCATTGGGTCTTTTCAGATTATTAAATGTTGTTTTTGTTTGTCTCAATCTTGTTTATTTCTTCTCTACATCTACCATCACAGCTAATGTTATTTCCTAAATATACACAAATTTGTCCACTTGTTTAAGCTTGTTGCATACTGTAATTTTATTTTAGGATTTATAGTACAGTACTGTACAGGGTATTTTCAATTTGGAAATAACCATTACTTTCGTCTTTACAACATTAACTCTAAACCTAATCTTTTCTAGCACACAAGGAGGCAGTATGGTTATCATTCTAATCCTGACCACCTTATTTCCTTAAATGAGGCATCCAGCATCGTATGATGCATTCAGACCATCCGGCAAACACGCTTTTTGGCATAGTTTCATACGATGGTAATTAATAAGATCTCTCCTTTCTACACTGAAAATAAGGTTGAAAAGGCCTTTGAAAATAGGGTGGAACATCGATTTGTGGCAGACAGGAAACAGGGGCTTGGTCAGGATGTTTCCTCATCCTGTTGTGAGTGAGTGAGGAGTGGTGCAGGCGGCCAATCACAGTGTGGCTGGCTCTAGAGCCTTCTTCCATCTCGGCTAATGATAGGTGAGCCTCTGCTATCTTTGTCACGGCCCTCCAGCCAATGATGCAGAATCCTCTCCCTCTCCCTCAGTTCTCCTTTGTTGTGGCGGGATTTACACTGATATCGATTAAAGTAAAAAAAAAAGCCATAAGTGGGTGGGAGTTTTGTTGCTTCAAGTCAGCATTGCAACAACCCAGTACATTACTTCATGACGCACTACCTACCATTAGCAAGTACAGTGTGGAGTATGAGATGTTTGTGTTCACACTCGGGATGGAATGGAGAAAGGAAACACATTGTGCTCTCTATATACATGTTGTATTGGATGTACAATGCAGCTTGGTGCTGGGAAGGCAGCATGGTTACAAGTGTGATGTAGAGAGAGCTGGTTGGTGAGGATGCTCAGAGAAGGACAGCTTGTGGGTCGCCGGCGGGAGCGAGGGCCGCCAGGCAGGCGGAGGAGGAGCGAGGACCGCCAGGCAGGCGGAGGAGGAGGAGGTGTTGCTGGCTGCGGCTGTAGGTAGAAAGAGACAGGTCACCACGAGGTCAGGTCTTAAAAAGCGGGGGTAGGCGTGGCTTAGTAGTTGACCCCCGCTCCGTGATGTATGGCGGTGCTGGTTGACCTAGACCACGAGGCATACACTGGGGAATTGGTGGGGTCAGCTACTCGGCGACAAACAGCGTTTGTAGAGGAGAAATCCACTACAACAGTCCTTTAGCTTCAAAATGCATTAAAAATGAATGCTGTATCTAAAAAAAAAGTTATGCATGTTTGAAGTTGGTAAAACTTTTAAAGCGGTTTTCTCGGTTTCAAATTTGGGCGCGAATAACCCATATGATGTGGGGCGCCTGAAATGTAAAGTTTGATACCCATTCATAGTTGGGTCGACTGGAGTTGCCCCTGGTGCAAACTAACAACTCCCAGGATGAGCATTGTATCTACAGTACAGTACTGTATTACCCATTACAATGCTTCAATCCCACTACTGTATACATTCACCTCTTGCCGGATATTCAAGCCATACTATGTCAACCAACAGGGTCTCTGGCTTCACTAACCAGAACTTAGATCAGGTCAAGTTGTAAGACTCAATAGAGTCTCGAAAGATTCTTTTGGTGCTGCGAGCATT